TCATGAATCAGTACATCATAGCCAACAATTCCTTCGCAAACAGCGGGAAACTTTGTCTGAATAGTTTAACATTCAGACAAAGTTTCCCGCTGTCAGAAGGAATGGAAGGGTAAGAGGTATATATTCATAATGTATACCTCTTACCCTTTCATTCCCTCGAGAAAGTTCAAAAACTTGGGTGCAATCAGTTCTGATTGCACCCAAGTTTTTGAACTTTGTATAAGGAATTGTTGGCTATGATGCACTGATCATGAATCAGTACATCATAGCCAACAATTCCTTCGCAAACAGCGGGAAACTTTGTCTGAATAGTTTAACATTCAGACAAAGTTTCCCGCTGTCAGAGAGGGAATGGAAGGGTAAGAGGTATATATTCATAATGTATACCTCTTACCCTTTCATTCCCTCGAGAAAGTTCAAAAACTTGGGTGCAATCAGTTCTGATTGCACCCAAGTTTTTGAACTTTGTATAAGGAATTGTTGGCTATGATGCACTGATCATGAATCAGTACATCATAGCCAACAATTCCTTCGCAAACAGCGGGAAACTTTGTCCGAATAGTTTAACATTCAGACAAAGTTTCCCAACTTTCAAGCCGAAATTCGCGGATACCATTCACCAACTAGCTTTCTATGATGGTTATTAAAAATCAAGATCTATATTAAATTCAAAATCTACTCAAAGTCACTAATGTTCGATTTCGGAGTGTCAAATTACTGTACTACAGTTGCTGCTTCTTCTGCAACTTGCGTATCTCTGTAACGAAGAAAAAAAATATGTAAATGTTTTAAAAAGTAAGTGTTTATTCTTATTAATCTGACTGAGCTTAGTAAGAAGATGTAATCGATATTGTTAATTTGTGTTAAAAATTAGATTTTATTTTCGATTTTAAAATATTACCGAATTAATTTCTTTGATTGGCTCTCCTCTCGCGGAAATGTTGAAGAGAAATCCTCAAATCCTTAATTTCTCCATCAACTTTCCAAAGGGGTTCTTTGGTGGTATCATATTTTTCGCTGATATCATAAAATTTGTTTGGTGTAAACCAGGTATGTATTTCTGGATTTTTTGGTAACTGTGTATGTGGTGTTGCGTTATAATTTTCGATTAAATTTTGAATTTGATCCCTTGTGGTGGATCTTTTGGTTTTGGACCTGTACGTAATTTTGGAATTTCAATTTGATTGAAATTAAGAGCGTTTTTAAAAGTTTTATGTGATATTGTGGGAAGAATTCTTCCATCTGTTAAAGGGACATTTTGGAGAACGGTTTCGACGTTAATACCGCTTTGAATTTGTTGATTAGCTTGATTTAACCATTCTAAATCAATTAAATCGAAGATTCTACCACTCATTTGAAAATTATAAGTTTTGAAAAAAACCGTAAATCATTATTGAATCTAAAAATATTTATGTACAAAAAGTCGGTATATATTCTATAATTATTTAAAATAATGAAAAAGTTGATTTGTGAATCATTGAAATATTAATGCTGTTATATATATATATCAGATGATATAAGATGATTTTTTTAAATAAAAAATAAAATTTAATTTTTTAATTGTTAAAATAAGAATAGTAAGCTTGACAAGTAATTTAAGTTTTTGCTTTGTAAAGTTATTTGGTTGGCAAATGCATTGTGTCACTTTTTCTTTGAGTTCACTTTCCGTAATTTGTCTTATGATAGGGTTAGATATACCCTAAAATTAATTTTATCATTTATGAAAAATTTAGTATATACAGAAATTAAAAAATTTTTGAGTTAATTTATTTTTTAAAAATTATTTTTTTACTCTGGGTGTTAAAATCTATGATAAAAAAAATAAATAAAAAATTTTAACGTTAATTTTTAAAGTTTATTTTTAAAAAAATTATTTTTTTTTATTTTGTGAAGTGTCAAAAATTTTAACGTTAATTTTTAAGTTTATTTTTTAAAAAAATATTTTTTATTTTGTAAAGTGTCAAAAAATTTAACGTTAATTTTTAAGTTTATTTTTTAAAAAATTATTTTTTTTATTTTTTGTAAATGTCAAATGTATTTTACGTGTCAAACGGTTTTTGTAAATTCTAGTAATTTTGGTTCCGGGGGCGTAGACCCTTGGTACCGAAATTATGGATACTAACTGCTGTAGCTTTGGTATTATAACTATCTAGTATTAAAGTTACGTAATTACAATCTTTTAAAGAGTAATTCCTCATAGAACTTCAAAAATTTGGAGAATCTTTGAAAAACTACTCTTTAGAGTAATTTGACTGAGGTTTTGTGTTAGAAGATTAATTTTCTGTTGATATTTTTGGATTTACTGTATAGAAATTGTAGATTGATCGCGAAAATCCAAAATTCTGGAGATTTTTGGAAGATCCGCGCTTGAAACGAGCGTATTTGATGATTTTGCATCATCTCTGAGCTTGGATGTTGTAAATTTTGAAGTATAAAAGAGTTATTAGTTGAAATTCATTCGCTCATTTAAAAAGTGAAATATTTTCATTGAAAAATGAAAAATTAAGGCCATTCTAGAAGCCAATCAAAAATACAATTAAAATAATATGATTCTTGGTGAAAAAATAATCCAAAAAAAATTGAAAAATGAAATTTGAAGAAAAAAATTACAGATTTAACAATATATAAAGGATTTTATAAATTTATGTGTCAAATAAAGACTATTAAAATAGGTGGGGATTAAAGTATAATATGGTTTGAATTAAAAATTTGTGGAAATCAATGTATGAAAAAGAGAGATTTTATAATAAATACAACTGAAATGTATAATGAAATTTGATCAGTATCAATAAAAAACACTCCTTTAGTAAACTTGTAGTCTGAAATATTGCATTGAGAAAAAAATACTCCAAATTTGCTCAATGAGTTTAGAAATGTAAAGATTTAGGACATGCTTTACATTTGTAAACTCATTTAGTAAACTTGTAGTTTGAAATATTGCATTGAGAAAAAAGTGCTTCGAATTTACTCAATAAGCTCACAAATGTAAAGCTTTTGTATAAGCTTTACACTTGTAAACTCATTTAGTAAACTTGTAGTTTGGAATATTGCATTTAGCAAATAAGTACTCCAAATTTGCTCAATGAGTTTAGAAATGTAAAGATTTAGGACATGCTTTACATTTGTAAACTCATTGAGCAAATTTGGATTAAAAAATTTAAATTTAATTTGAATTATGGGTTGTAATTCAATGTAAGATTGTCCTTTAAGTCAAAATAGACTATGAAATCAAATAAACCAAGGGAAATCGTAAGAATCTTTTTCGATTCATAATTTAATAAATAATCTTTTGCTGTATTTAAGATATCGATTAATACTTAACGAAATTTTGAATAACTGCATACGTGAATGAGATAAATGAAGTTTGAGATCTGAGGTAGAAGAATTCGAAATTTCGAATATATGCGAATTTGGTGATAACAATTGAAAAGTAAAATTTAAACTTGTCACAACACATAACAAAACTCCACCTGCATAAATCGAGTATATTGTATATGGTTGGTCTAAAATGAAAAAAGTGTACGTTTAAAATACGATTATTTAACAAAACTGGAAGGTCAACGATTATTTAACAAAACTTGAATCGACCCTAAAAAAACCCTTACGAAACTAGTCTACAGCTTAGCTAGTTTTTTTTTATAAAATGTCTACTGGATGCTAACAAATACGAACATAATCTCACCTCTCGACTTGAATATTAATTCTCATAACAAAATTCTTATTTTAAGATAGTAAAATAATATTGTTTTTATTTCAACAACAACAAGTAAATAGATGAATGAAAACGTAATACATTAGCAGAGATATAGTAACTAACGTGTAAATTTGAGTTATTAGTACTCCCGTCAAAATGTATAAAATTGAAATCAGAAATATCAAAAGAAAATATGCTGTAATGTACACTCATTGTAGAGATCATTGTAACTAATGAATAACTTATGTAATAAAGCCGACTTTTTTTCTGACTGCAATAATTTCCTCAAATTCTAGTGACTTTTTCTATATACAAGTTATTTGAATATGTATCAAAAGATATGTAAAAATTCATAATTATGAGGAATCTTGTCGTTGCATTTTCGAGATGCAAAGCACCAATTCGTTAATTATAACGTGCAAAAAGGAAGTGATCAGTAGACCTTGGAAAAAAGAAGAAGGGCTATACTTTTCGTGAGACTTCATCTTTTATGAACATATGGGATTTTGTAAACTTACACGATTTATTCTGATTCAGAAAGATCTAGTCACTTTTTATCAAACCTCTATATTTTCTTTATGCTATTTTTTCTCAGCCTCGTTTTGATATACTCTCTAAATCTCAGACCGATTAATGTTCATTCAAATCACACAGAATTCTTCAATCCAAACTCTGACTCATGGAATTTATGTAAGATGGAAAATCGTGTTTCGGCTCTTTCTCTCCTTGGGCCTTCAGATGAAGAATTCAAGGTTGCTATGAGCAATGTATCAATTATGGTTGGCTCGGTAACTTTAGGAACGTTACTTTTTGACTGGTTCAAGAGGCACCACCAAATATAATATACAAATCAAGCTTTTATATAAACTCTGTTTTGTTTTTAATTGCATTAGATTATATTACTAATTTTTATATAACATCTAAAAATTTTGTATTTTCTACTGTTTCCTGATTATAAGGTAACGCTAATTTCTGCTGATCTCCTCCTTTTCTTATTCAATTGTTTTATAATTTAAAAAAAATACAATTTTTTTCCAAATCACGATTAATTAAAATGAAAAGCCTTTCAGTAGAACGTGGCCGTTAGGTTATACATTTGCACCATTTATGAAAATGGATTTGGTCATAGGAAAACCATTAATAAAAATTCTTGATATGCATTATATACCATATTGCTATTGAAACCATATTTAAATTTTCCTACCATTGATAAAGGTTGACCAGCAAAAAATTTGTTATTGCGCAATTTTTTAAATATTATAATAATTTTTTTTTATTTAAGCAAAAACAATAAAAAAATAGTATATCAACATTGCTTAGAGTATCTAGTTATTTTAAGTCCTCCCAATGACTCTAATTTATAATCATTTGATACAATAACATTATGACATGATATAGCATTTCTTAAATAATTTCCCTCGAGTTTGTTAAATCCACAATATGAAAATTTAAAAATATCACATTTAGAAAAAGCAAAATCCTCAATTTGAGAAATTGAATTTGAAATTTCAATTGTAATATTATCGCTGATTATATGGTTATTATGAATTGAAAAGTTTTCTCCGGTTTTGTATATGAACAAGTTTCTCAGATTGGAAAAATTAGTCAAATTGGGAAGAGAAGATAGTTCCAAACTATTAAAAACAATAGTCTTCACATTTAACCAGCTAGGTGTAATAGGGAAAGCAGCTGATTTGTAAATTAAAGTATTAATTGAAGAAGAGTTGTAAAATGCTGTTTGACTAATTTGATTTGAAATGTTATTCTTTGTTAATATTATTATATTTTGTAGTGCATCACATCCAGAAAAAGCAAATTGGCCAATTGAAGTTAAATTCTGTGGTAAAGTAATATTCGTGAGCTCCAAACATTTATAGAATGAATAATCATCTACTGTTGTTATCAATTCTGGTAAAGTAACTGATCGTAGTGATTGGCAATAAATAAAAGCAGAATTAGAAATTTGTGATAAAGTACATGGAAAATCAAAAGAAGATAAACTACTACAACCAGAAAATGCGCATTCACCAATTGAGACCAAATTATTGGCATATTTAAGTGTTGATAATTTGTAGCAATCTGAAAACGCATAATCGCCTATTTCAAATAAATAATATGGTAGCTGAACGCTGACTAATGAAGAGCAACCAGAAAAAGCATAGTTTGGAATAGAATGGATGTTATTAAAAAGTGCTATTGAAATTAAAGATGAACAATAGTAAAATGCAGCTTCCCCGATATAAGAAAGTGAATAAGGAAGTATAATTTCGGTGAGAGAACGATCATTAGCGAATAAATAACTTCCAATTGTGGTTAGTGAATTATAAAATTCAATTTTTTGCAATGCAAAGCACTGTGAAAATGCCCTATCGCCTATTGTTCGTAATGAGCTTGGGATTTCGACTGTTGTTAAAAAATTGAGATCAAAAAACGCGAAATCTCCAATTGAAATCAAATTTTGTGGGAGAATAAGGGACTTAACGTAAATGCATTGATAGAATGATTGATCTTCAATCCTAGTCATTGCTGTATTAAGATGGAGAATTGTTAAATTTAAACAAAAATTAAATGCATGCTTGCCAATATAAGTTAAATTTTCTGGAAATTTAAAATTTTGAAGAGAAATGCAATAAGAAAATGCATAATCACCAATTGATGTCAAAGTATTTGGGAGAGTGATATTCAATAAGCTTTCGCATTTGAAAAATGACATATCATCAATTTTGGTGAGATATTTTGGAAGAACAATACATTTCAATAGATTGCAATATGAAAATGAAGATTTTCCGATTGATTTAACATTTTCAGGTAATTCAACCTTAACTAATCCAGAACATTCGGAAAACGAATATTCTCCAATTGTTTCAATCGAAATTGGGAAAATAACTTGTTGTATTTTTGTGCATTGATGGTATTCATAATCATTAACAGTTGTAACCCCATATTGAATGTTCAAAGTATTTCCATCTGGACATGTACAATACGCCCATGAAGTCAAAAAAAAACACATTAAAAAATTTGACATAATTTTAATGAATGTTTTGTATTTCATCTTCTTATGCAAGTATCATTATTAATTTAGGACCAAGAATTTTGATGTTTTAATTCATAAAATTGAGAGTAACTCAATGAAAAAATTGAATTTACCATTGGTTATAAGTCGTTTCTTCGCTAGGCAACGCAAAATAGTTATATCAAACACTTTCCTTGCAATTAGTCTCAAAAATATTTATACTTTGCATGCGGCAAACCCAAATTTTAGCTAAAAGTGACAGGGAAAAAACGTTTAGTATTAAAAAAAAGACCGATGAGAGCTTCGTTCGAAATATAGAGGGAACTGAGAATGCGCAACCATTCTCAGGGAATATTGGATGCTATTCTCGTTCCCTCTGTATGGAAAATTGAGGTTTTCAAAGGGAGTTAAAATAATATCAAATTTATACTAATTTACTTCAAAATACAAAAGTATTTGACAGCTAAAATTAGTTACTTTAGCAAGCCTATCAATACCCTTTTACGATTATTGCTACTTTTTCGAAATAAAATAAATTTATTATCAAAAACCTTTTTTTTTCTTAGTAAAAATAAACGAAATTTTTTACCTTATGAACTTTTGATGGAAATATAGATCCGTATTTTTCCCAAGTGAGCGGGGTATCTCCAATCCCAGCCCTATCGTCCTCCCAGTGTCAGTTTTCAATATAAAATCCAAATTTTTTTTGAAAATAAAAATTTCGAGAAATTTTTCTGATTTTTTTTCTTTGATTTCAATAATTCAAAATAAATTTGGGAGTAAAAAGACACTATTTAATGAAATTCATATGAGTGAATGTGGATAAATACTCTCAAAACATACAATTTATCTATTTTTTCTTTATATTATCAACTAATTAGTGATAATTTTTTTTGAATCAGATTTTTTTTCATTAAAAACATAATATATAACACAACAATGATGCACACATACGTATCTACACATCAAAATATAAAGCTTGTTTTGGTCTGGGCATCCCAACCCAAAATTCTTTAAAAATTGAATAAAATTGAATACTTGGGGCTGGGATGCCCATCCCAAAACCGAATTGAATTTTTTGAATTAAAGAATATATTTATGTATTTATAATATACATGTGATGTCTATAAAAAATACTAAATTCTAAAAAAAATTCAATTTATTCAAACGTATACTAAGTGATCACTTCATTAGTAGGATCAGCAATCCTACTAAATGGTGAGAACGCCACTAACTAAAAAAGGAGTCCTTGGAGCTCTTGATCTCTTGTCAGTAGAGTTCATAATGAGGCATGGCATCTACTGATTAGAGATCAGAGCAATCCTACCTTACCTTCAGGAGCTACAAAGCTCCTAATCGTCGTTACGAGAGGGAGTCTTGGAGCTCCTGAAGCTCATCAGCAGAGGCTATTTACCATTTGGGCCTCTTCTGATGAAAGATGCGAAACACGTCTACGAACCAGGAGCTTCAAAGCTTCTAATCCTTACTAAAGGGAGCTTTGGAGCTCCTGAGTCTCCATCAACAGAGTCCCAGATGGTAAATGTCCTTTGCTGATGAAAGATGCGAAACACATCTACGAACCAGGAGCTCCAAAGCTCCTAATCCTTACGAAAGGAGCTTTGGAGCTCCTGAAACTCCTTTTACTATAAAATATGACAGTTTTCTTCTGAGGTTCTCATCAAATCTAAGACTTCAGAAGAAAGCTGTCCTATCAATGTATACTTACACTCTCATGGACTACAAGTGTTACAATTTTAAAGCAGAGATTATCCGAGGCCTCTCATCAAATGAGGGACCTCGGATAATCTCTACCTTAAGTAGTCAAATAACTTTTCTCACTATTAGGAACAAAAGAACAAGAGTTGGAGTACTTTAAGGCAAGATTCTTCCGAAATCTCTCATCGAATGAGAGACTTCGGAAGGACCTTGCCAAATCCTGAACGCCAATATCCTTGGAACTGAGCTAGAACCAGGGAGAAGTAGCATACTATAGAGCACGATGGTAATCTCGGAAATACTTATATCGCCCCAAGCACAATATTTAAGAAGTCTAACTCATATATACAAGAAGTCAGGCTGAATAGATATTGTGCATATGGTTTGCAGAACTCTCATGATATTTAAAATTCATGTTATCCCAAAAAAGGTGACACTTTGGGTGTATCGTCCATCCCAGGGATGCAAAAATCACATCACCTTGGATCTATAATGGAAATATGCAAATTTAAAATAATAAAGAAAGCCGCGAGCGAAGCGATCGGCTTAGTTCGAAGATTTTGATTCAAATCTTTGCTGATCTGTAATTCGCGGAAGCCGCGAGCGAATCGAGCGGCTTAGGTCTAAGATTTTGATTCAAATCTTTGCTTATATTCAAAAAAAAAAAAAAAAAGGTAGTGGGGCCTCCAGGCACTTCGTGCCCTCTAGCCCTGAAGATGTTTAGTATAACTTTGTCCGGACAAGTAAGGGTCTATCGTCGCTACAGGAAAAGTTACGGGCGTTCCAAGGAAGTATACTTTGAGAAGCCTTTTCTCCATTTTAAAACAAGATAGGACGGTTATTTTACAAAACTGACAACACTTTGACCGAGTAGTTTTTTGAGCTGAACAAAAAGTGTCATATAAACATCTGTCAAAAACCGCTTTTTAACTTCACTTAAAATGCCACGTAAGCTACGTAAGATATACGTAAGAGGAAAAGAGCATTGAAACATCCAATAGTAAAACTGACACCACAACAACAGTTGCAACAAAATGATGATGAATGACCCCACTATGTTGCAACAAATGTCAGCAACCCTATGCTTTTAAACGAGTTATTGTGCACAGAGTGGAGGTTTAAGAGCGGCACTTTTTAGCGAAAATGGCAGCTATGGTGGAGCTGCAGACGGAACAGCTTATAACCCTCAAAGTCAAATGAATTTGAGTTCACTCAAAAATCAAATAACAGATGTCAAAAGTCAAACATAGACATACAGAAACAAATAAGTGAAAACGAAAAGAAACTAGAATATGACAGACACACAAAGAAACTCAATGAGTTAAACGTAGAGAAAAAGAAGAAAGAAGAACAACTGAAAAACTAAGTACAGAGGAATATGCGAAAAAGTGTCAGAAAAAGCAGCAGAAGTAGCAAAAATGGAACAAGATGTTATAAATTTGAAAAACCATACTACTCAATATAAAGTACTGAAAGATGAAGAAGAATAAAACAAAAAGCCCTGAAGACCATATATGGATAGCGATGAGTATAAAAAAGAAGTTGAAGCAAATGTAAAGGCAGAAAAACTTTTACAGTTGCAAAAAACCAAACCGTACAGTATGAAAACTTAGCACAAGAAAGTAAAATAACGACGCAGCCATGCAAAAGGCAATGAAAACGCAGAATATATAAAAGCTAATAATGACTGGTTAGATGCCCAAGCCAACGCTAAAGCAAGCCCAACTTATAGGGTCAATAAGGACAAAAATACAAGCGGATGAAGACAGTTCAAATGAAGCTTTAATGAATGCTGACTTTAAGAACGCCTTCGAAGCTCTTCATAGTAAGGTAAAACTAGTGAACGACTTCTCATCTGGAAAGAAACTGAAGTCTGAAGGTTTCGACAAAGAGTTAAGAGAAGTAGCACAAAAATATGACGAAAATAACAGATGCAGCAACGAGACAGGCAGTTCAAAGTGCCTATGACGCCGTTAGAGCAACTGTTGTGGAAAGTCAAGAAAAAGAGTTACAACAGACCAAAACAGACCTAGTAAATGCTTTCTTAAAAACGAAAAGTCAGGTAGGACATTATGCTGCAGATGGAACATATGTGCCAGCTGGTGGAACTTATATACCAGCTGGTGGAACTTATATACTAGCTAGTGGAACTTATATACCACCAAACCCTCCAAGAGAAGCACCTGCACCAGGACTACCTAAAACATTTACATCGTCACATGGACACAGACACAGGCATGCACCAAAACCAACACAACAACCAACACACAACCAACAGTTCAAAACACTGCACCACAACCAACAGTTCAAAAACACTGCACCACAACCAACAGTTCAAAACACTGCACCACAACCAACAGTTCAAAACACTGCACAGCAACAACCACAAACAGAGCAAGGACATAAAAGAAGTAGAGAAAAGGAAACCAAGAATTCTTAAAAATGCTTAAGGAAAATTATGGTTACCCAGATACTCTTGACTTTAGTGACAGATATAAAGAAGCTATTAGAAAGTTCAAGGAAGGAAATACTGACCCGAACCTATTTAGCTTTATGGTTCAGCACCAAATGGATATAATTTCAAACCTGGAAAATACAAGCTCGCTAAGGGATATGATTTAATAGCATATCATCCAAATGACATGACTGAATTTACTCCGAGATATTTGGTGTCAGAGATAAATGATAATTCAACTATCTTCATGAAACGCGTAAAAAATAGAGACGGAACGAAAGAAGAAAGGGTTATGAATGCGGATGACTTAAATAGGAACTTGTTAAAAACGGTCTCGGAATATATGAAATGCCAGCAGATGAGGTACAAGAAACTCCACAGGAAGAAGTTCAGATACAACCAGACATGGAAGAAATAGTTCAGCAACAACAGCTAGAAGAGCCTGAAGGAAACAAACAAGTCCTCCTTTGGAAACTAACTTCACAGAACTAGATGAAGATTTGGAACAGCCGAAAAATCTTGACCCTCAACAAGTGTATGCGGAGAATATGGAATCTTTCCAAGAGTCTAAGAAAAATTCGGCTGACATAGTAGAAGAATATCGAAAAATGTTCGCCGACATACAAAAGACTCCAACATCAGATGAAAATATTCAGCATAGAATGGAAGAACTGAAAGAAAGTGTACGCAAATACAACAATCCTTTTTACTTACGACCATATAACGTTCAATCTTTGGCTGAACTCGGTGAAAATAAAAGGTTAAATTTCACCAAAACATATAGAAATGAAACATTGTTTAAAGTTCATTCAGAACCTAACCAATA